AGAGGCCTCTGTGTGCCACCAGGAGTTTCTACAGAGGAGAGGGCACACGGGGAGAGGGGCAGAGGGTCCCGATGCCCCTTCCCAGGGGCCGAGATCTGTGCCTGCCATGTGCTGCATGTACAGCGAGGGCAGGGGGACCGACCAGCCCTTTCCAGGGGAAAGCAGCAGGACCCAGCACTGTCTCCACACTGTTTGCTTTCTGATTCCGAGTGCTGCTTTCTCTTAGGACAGCACTGGATCGTAGGAATTATCCACCCAGTTTTTGATGTCTCTCCTCGAGCAAATATATATTCTTAAGGAAGAAAAAGTGTTTGTGTCTGAATAGATCAACATGGCAGGAAATAAGGTGGCAGCTGGTTAAGAGTAAAATTGTTTCGTATACATCATCATTGATTTCATCAAAACATTCTGTTTCTCGGGCAGCTGGGAAGAGCAGCGTGGCCCCATTTAGGGAAACGCTTGTTTTCTCTCTACTCTATTTATTATGTTTTAGGAGCTCTTTGTAACAGAAGCAAAAACCTGACTGCAGGGCGAGAAGTTCCCCAGCCCTTGCCCGCAGGGTGCACCCCATTAACTCACCCTCATTTGCTCACAGTGAGGGCTCCATGCTCCCATCTCTGTGCCTGGGGCCGGGATGTGGCAGAGCAGGGAGCTCCTGCTGCAATCTGTATGAGCCCAGCAGCGCGTGGTTGATCCCTTAGCGTGGGACACGAAGCCCCCAGCCCTTTGGCTAACGCAGGTTGAGCTGAGCACAGGGCACACTGAGGGCAGTGGGCTTTCTGAGCAGCATCCTCGGGGAGCAGGGATGCAGCAGCAAGGAGAGGCCCCTCTGTTCTGGCCAGTGAGATAAATGAGCACGTAACTTTTGCAGCACAGCACTGCAAATTTAGCCAAATCGGCTGCACCAGGGACGGAGAACTCCCCCCGTTCCTCCTCACATCGCATTACATAAATAAAGCGGTGCGAGCTCTCCAGTGCATCTGGCACACTTTTCAGGAACAAAGTGAGAAGCATTTCTAGCAACAGCCACACTTCGCACCACTGCAAAAACATTGCTGCCTCTTCCCTCGATCATGGAAGAGATATTGCCTCAGGGAAAAATAAGCAGGGAATCTCCTCGTCCTCCCGTTCCCTCACCCCCCACCCCCCGCACTCGCCAACCTTTCTCTCTGGGTACATCCAGAACCAAGTGAGAAATGCGACACACGCTCCACGATTCCAGGAGCTCCCCACTCTGCTGCGGATCCGAACCTCCATCTCACACGTCTACCGACGGCCGACGCACTGCCCGACTGAACTGCTCGTGTGCGGGGGAAAAGATCTGGGAAAGGAATCGAACTTTCTCATTCCTCAGCCTGAAACCTCCGACGTTTGTGCCCTCGTCCCGGCCGGACACTGCATGCCGGGTGTTGGCAGCGGCTGTCCCCGAGCCTCACCGGCAATATATAAAGCACGCTGCCCGGGCGGCATTGCCCATTTCAGAACCCTGCTTACAGACGGTCATTTTCCTTTCGTATCAGTATCCCCGATTAGAAAATTATTGTTTATAGCACGGCAAATTAAAGCCGGATTTTGTTTACATGGAGCAAAGCAAAGCTCTCAGAGCCCGAGATCTCTGTGCTTCTCCCGTCTGCTTTTCCTCTGCATCCCATCTCTCTCCTACCACGCACTTTTTCATCCAGCAAAGCACTCGTGCAGACCGACCGAGCCCGTATTAAACGCCCTAATGCCAAAGAAGCTACAAAGTAGCTTAAAGTACTTTAATACACCGCATGTGGCCCGTAATCCCCAAAGTAATTTAATTTAATCGCCTTTTCTTCCACCACCGAATGGTTTTTTCCTCCCTGTGACCGTGCGGGAGTCTCACCCCGAGGCGGGATGGGGGTGGGGGGGCTGCGAGGAGCGGAGCCCGAGGTCCCTCCTGTCCCCCGCCCCTCCCGGGGGGGTCCCACCGAGCGTCCCCGCACCGCTCCGCTCCGAGAGGGAACGCTGCGGTCACGTCGCTGCCTCGGACCTTCAGCGCTGCTTTTAAATAACATTGACTTCTCGTGAAAAGTTGAACGGGACCACGTTGAGAAAAGCCCCCGCTGGAGTTTTATCGCAGCTTTTCTCGTAACAATGGCCGGAGCCGGTAGTAACGCCCGTTCATCGCATTCCGCCGTTCCCGTTCCGCCCCCGGCTCATGAATCGCGGCGCTCCCCTCCGCTCTCCGGGAGCGGTTCCCGTACGGCTCCGAGCGGCCGAGAGAGCGGCGGCGGCGGGGAGGGGAGCGACGAGAAGCGGTGCTCCTAAAAGTGCCACCGACAAATAACGCGGGGGGACGGAAGTGCGGCAAAGCGGCACAGCACAGCTCCGGCTCGGGGCGGGATGCACCGCCCCACGGGGAGCTCCTGAACGGCAAGGGGAGAGCTCCGACTGCAATGCTATAATGATAATATAGATACCGCAGCAAAAATAAGTAGCGTCGCAAAATATGTATCACTGCAAAAATATACCTCGTAGCCGAACAATATAATCGTGAGCAAAAGCTCTGTATCTGCATATAGGGAATTATTTTAGGAAGAAGAACGGAGAATATTGCTTTCTTGTTTTTTTAAATGTAGTTTTCTGGACGTACTGCAGCCGATGTGAAGCAGTAAGTCGGGTTCTGCACAGGCTGCCCCCCCTCCCGCCGCCTCCCCACTTGCCCACCCTCGAGCACAGCTGGGAGCGCGGCCGAGGCGGGGGACCGGAGGGGCACCGACGGTCCGCGGGCAGCGCGTACGTAGCACGGCCGCCTTTCCGAAAAGCCCAACGAGCGAAGTGCCCGCACATCGCACACACGCGGAGCCACGCCGACCACCTCGCTTAACAACAGTTATTCTTTCACACGAATCGCTTTAATTACTAAACGCACCGCTTGTGGCTAATTTTTATTATTTTCTTTCTTTCTTTTTTTTTTTTTTTAAGGGAGAATGATTAACCCCAACGCTCCTCGCTCACACCCCGCAGAAGCGCTTTTAAAACTCCTGAACAGCTCGAAGCGGCTCCCCCCGATCCCGGCGTTGCCGGAGCTCAGTTCCCGGCGTAGGGACGGCGCGGCCCCCGGCTGGGGCTCAGCGGAGCCCCCGCGCACCGTCGGGGCCGTCCCGGCCGCGGCCTTCTGCGCCGCGTTCCGCCGACGAAGGGTCCTCTGCACACCCCCCCCCCCCCCCCCCCCTTCACCAGACCACCACACATACACGCACTATTTGTAGATCTGATTTTGCTGTGACCGATACCGGCCTACAGCAAACCTAACGGCCCAATGCAACCCCGATTCCATCCTCTTTCAGACCCGAAAATTATCTCCTTCCCAACACCGCGGTTAATTTGAGGGCGATCCCCACCCTTCGCCAGGGACGAGCCCGGCACAGCCGCGTCCGCCGTCTCTTTGCTCCCTTTTGTTTCCCCGTCAGACCCCCCCGCACCCCGCACCGCGCGGCCGCTCCGCGGCACCGCGCCCGCACCGCCCCCCTCCCCCGCCCCCCTCCGGGTTCTCCCTGCCCCGAGGCCGCGCCCCCCCCCCCCCCCCCCAGGGGCCGGGGGCGCGGGGCTCCCGCCTCCCCCCCCCCCCCCCCCCCCTCCCTCCCCGGCGGGCGCTGACCTGCGGCGGCGGCGGCCTTGCGTCTCCGCGCGATCCGTGCGGCGCGGTGCGAAGCGGCGGCCCGTGCGGAGAGGGGGGTTGCGCGGCGATGCGGCGGAGCGGCGCGGCCCGGGAGCGGTGCGGCTCGGAGCGGGTCCTGTCACATGATGCGGTTCCTGGAAAGTTCCTGGAAAGCGGCCTTTGTATGGAGCCGGGCGGGGGGAGGATGCCCGCGCCTCCTCATCAAAGGCGCGCGGAGCGCTCGCTCCTGCCCGCTCCAGGGGAAGGGGGCGGGCGGGGGGTGCTTCCCCCGGAGCGCGATCCTCCTCCTCTTCCTCCTCCTCCTCCTCCTCCTCCTCCTCCTCCTCCTCCTCCTTCTCCTTTCGCGGCGGCAGCCGCCCGCCTCTCTGTCTGTGTCCGTCCGGCTGCGGGAGGGAGCGCGCTCCGCCGTGCGCCCGCACCGCCCGCACCACAGCGCCCCGCCATGCCG